TTTTTACAAATTATCTTTTTGTCTTTAGGAGTCAACAACATTTCAAATATTTTTAAAATGTTTATTTTTTAGAACACGACATTTTACAAAGGAAATTATTATTAAATATATTAAATTATGCTTTCCATTCAAAAAATTAACATCTAAAAGCATCTTTGTCTTAAAAGGAGCCACTCATACAACATATCGAAGCTATAGAGATGCGCTTCGAACTGGGCTTGAAGAAATTGCAGTGCACTTCATTGAGGATTTTAAGTAAGTAAAATATATTTTTAATATGTTAGATAATAATTGTAACTAATTATCAATTCATAGAATAGAAAATCTTTCTCAAATCTAGCGATCTGATATTAATAATTATCTTCAAGAAGGTGTCTGGAGACCATTTCTTAGATATTTTTTTGAAGCAATTGATGAAGAAACAATATTTATTTTAGAATTCAAGAAAGTGTGGCAGATGTTTATGTCAGAATGCCTCATAAAACTGATTGAAGAGATATTGAATAATGAAAACAAGCTAGTTAAAATTACTGACCTAGACTATCTTACTTTGGATTATGATATTTATGATGCTAGTAACATATTAGATCTAAATGACAAAGACTTTAAAGCACTTCTGAAAAAAGAATTGGGTAACAAAAATAAAAAAAATAGAGATTGAGCAAAATTATTGTAATTTATTTAGACTAGACAGCTTTTTACTAATACCACGTACCACAGTGTGACAAAATGCAAGAACATTTGCAAGCTTTTATCATAAAACTAACCAGAATAAATTAATAATTAAAGCTAAAATAGTAATTTACTAAATGTATATACGTATAATATTTATTTGTATGCAGTCAGTATTAGCTACAAATATATTAAAATGATCTAAAAGAAATCATTTGCTTCTTACTTAGAGCATTTATATAAAAATTTATACATGTGAATAGAAATTAGTTAAACTAATAGATCAAGTCTAAAAGCTAGAAATTATTCGATCGAACAATAAATAACTAAATATTCTGATATTTAGCAATATCTTTTTGTGCAAAAAATTCTTTAATTTATGGATATGTAGCTCTGTCATGTTTATGGAAATTCAGGTCATATACTCTAAAAGAGTTATTCTCACATTACATGATATCTAAAAAAAATATAAAACTCATTATATATTGCATCTGAATAGAACTTTTACTAGAAATATATAAGAATTTATCCAAGTAACCTAAATATTTTAATAATATTTGTGTACCATTTTTTTCTACAGGTAGAATCTCTAAATCTTATAATTTCAAAAGACCTTACTCTCGATAAATTGCATATAAAAGCTAAAACCATTGATTAAAGATAATCAGCAAGTATGAATACAATTAACTTAATATCAAGAAACAAATAAATATGCGCATAAGACTAATATGATGATATAACGATTCAGTAACTATCTGTTGCTCACAAGAAAGATTAATCAGTTACTAAAACAAGATTAGCACAGATCTGTTATCACTTAAATGTTTTCCTGGTGGCATGATACAAATTAGATGATGATAATAACTACAGTGATAATTATGCAGAGGCAATTATAATAACAATATATTATAAGGAATCTATACTAATAAGAAATGATTAAAATAAGGAATACGATAATAAAGAGAAAAGATATAGAGGTGCAGAAAAATCATGAGATAACACTGGTAAAGCAATTACTTTTCTTAAATTTATATACAATTGTTAATTCTCTCAATCTAGCACTTCCTATTCTGTATAGTTAAGTGTTATTGGTCAAAGAAAAAAATCAATATATTGAATAACATAATCTGAATGCTATTCAATATGCTATTCAACTTCATTATTATATGACTTTGCAAAAATGTATGCTCATAACATGCTCATAATGTCATGTAATAATATTGAAGTTAAATGGCATATTGAATTATATTTTGAATAGCATTCAGATTATACTATTCAATATGTTGCTTTTTTTTAATTTTGACTACTGCTTACTCATATTTTTCAATTTTGTAATCTATGTGCATCACAATTTAGATTCATGATATATTTTATAAAAATTAACTACTAATTTGTTAGATACAAAATTCTATGATTCTTTCTTTTAATAAATTATACATAGCATGATTTAATTCTCTATTTCAAAGAATAATGCCATAATTTTATAATACAACAACAGGTTTTATTACAGTCCTATTAATAATATATTATCGACACTAACTCGATTGAGTTAGATATTCTATATCAATATATGATCTACATTTTGAAAAAACATCTAATTAGATGCTTTATCTTGAATAAAATTAAATATAAATTCATTTAAGTCTTCGAATCAAAATCAAATAAAAGAAATTTAGGTAAAGTTATTATCTAATTAATATCATATGATGAGAAAACTGCTGATCCACAGCTTGCAAGCTGGTGTCACTCCTGAATAATGTAACTGCTGATTAAACAATTATTTAAATAACATTTGGCTTAATTATATGTGTATTGTTACAATTAGGTGAGAGACTTTGTATCAACCAGCCAATTTAGCTTAGAGTCGTAAGTATTAAAAGTAATAAACCAAGTATTTTATTATCACACACAAGGTACCAAAAAGTACTTATAATATATCCCAACAGTGTATCCAGTACACTATAGTTTTCTAAATTATCTCTTGTTTCAACTAATACCTTTCAAAGTACTAACACAAATACATTTAACTCACAAAAGCAAACTTTTAAAGCTTACTAAAGAACTAACTACCAGTATGCTACAACCCTCTATCTATATTATCTATTAGACTTTAATTAAACTATTATGCAAAATGTAAAATATAATCTTATTTTAAAATATCGTAATGATCAATACAGAATTGAAAAGTTAGTTTCAAAAATTAACAAAAGATGTACTAAAGATCGTGCACTAGCCATAAGCAGTCTCTAAAGTTAATGTGGAGATTAGGAGTAGCTTTACTTTACTATAAATAGTAAATTAATTATATTACTTGAGAATATCAAAAGTAATAATAATATTTACAAAAATTTCTTATTTAGAACATAAAAAGTAATCTTATCCTTTGTTGCCAAAAGTCTAAAAACTCAATAGGAAAATTCAAGTGATTTGTTGAAAGAATATATATAGTAGATTACTTGTAATTAATATAACAATGTCGCAAACTTATCTTGCTAGTATGTACTGTTGTAATTTACCCACACATTGGTTGTTGGTCATAATGTATATTTAATTCAAATAGCTAAAGCTAATTTATAACTATAGTATAGTTACTTAGTTACTAAAAATAATCTTTAGGTTAGAACGACACATAGTAAATACCAGCCATTCAATAAGTATCATTCTTGATTCACATTATATTATAATTTGATGCAGTATCAAGAAAGATACTTTAAATAATAAGCAATAGTGCAGTAAATATCTGGCATTTACTATATGTTGTTTTAGTCCTGCTTCGGGTGTATGCTATGTATTAAATTTTATTCACATACATACGTACGTACATATTATCTTGGTTAGAAATTATTGGTAAGATTATGCTTTTTTTTGTTAGTACACGAAAGATAATATATTAATACTATATAATTTTCAATAAAAAAACTTTTAAATTTTACATTATTATTAAATAAAAGATTGATTAAATTAATTATTACAATATCGGTAAGAGTTATTGATTGTTTAATACAGATATAATTGTTAGTATATAAATACTATATTAATAATTGGTAATTACAATCAATTTTTTTTTTAAAAAAAGAAACAAGATTACATACATTAAAGAAGTTTTCACAAGATTGCGTTGGATTTTTTTTCTTCTGGTCATAGAGTATTGCTTAATTTGTAATGA